AAGCCGAACTGGAAGCAAAGTGACTCATCCAAGTGGATTGACCCCAGTAAAGGTAAATGGGAAATAGGTAAACTTTTTCTTCCTGATATTGGGTTACATACCGTGATCGAGAGCGTCGAAGACCTGGACATCACTGGAATTCTGAATCTGTTGTACTGGTGCAATCATTTTCTTGTTCAGCGACCACTGATTGAAAGTGTCCGAGAAACTAGAAACACAAAATGGGTACATGTTCCAAAGTTAGAGTTGAACGACAAAGAAAAACGGGCTGCCTTTCAAACAATCGAGAAGCTTCTTCAAGATCCAGTGTTTGTTGGGGATGTAGATGTTCAGAACGCTCTTCAGGACATTTTAGACTTGAAATGCACGTCAGATGTGCAAATATTCAAAGCCGAGGTCCTATCTCATTTCAAGGAGGCAATTCGAAGCGACATGTCAAACCTTAAAAGTGACATGAAGTCATTAAGAAAGGAAGCCAAGAAAAACGAAAAACAGCGGGCCCGTGTGGAAGGTCAACTACGTAATTTAAAAACGTCTTTCAAGAAGGTGGAGCAAAAAAATGAAACAACTACTTTCTCAAGTCTTGTCCAGCCAATTCTGAAACTTCCCATTGCCATCATCATTTTAGTGTTCAAAACTGCGGGAGGCATGAAACAAAAATCGTTCAACGATTGCCTACACCTATTAATCCTGTTTTGTTGCATTGGTATCCTGGATGAAAGCTCATATAAGGACGGTATGTTGGGGTAAAATTCGTTTTTTTCAAAAATTCAGTTGTTTCTTTGTTTGTTTTTTGCGTTCCACTGACATTTTCATACAGACTCTCTTTTCTTAGTCTTTACCCTTTGACGACTGCTTTGTTCGTTTTTGTTCCATATGGAACGATACTTTTCGTTCATGCAGCTTTCAGTTTTAGGTTTAACTGCAATAGCGAGGTGTAATTTGTTTTGTGACCTAGACAATGCAAATTTTTTTTATATCTTGTGGACATATTACCCGACCGCGGATTGGCTAAAATTCGTGTAACGTTTATAACGTTAAGTTTTAAAACAAAAGAGGAATTTATGCTGCAGCCTCTGCACCGGCTCTTCTCCGCGGAGGCTCAAAGCTAAAAAGGGCATCGGCGAAAGTGAGCGCGGGCTTAAGAATTGTTTGGTAAGCGGCGGGGGAGCCTCTTCCAGAAGTTACGTCCAATATGGCTGCAATCCGGGGGAGGCATTTTTGTAAAGTGTGTATAACTGAGGTGCATGGCATGCATTGTTTTGTTTATTTCGGTAAAATGGCAAGCAATGAACTTGAAGCTATAAAATGTAGTAAAGGCCCAGATATCCGTTGCTGTACGAGAAAACGACAGATTTCGGGCAGAAGTTCCCGCGCTGAAGAATCTTTCGGATTTCGCCCCTTCGTGTACTCACTTCGCGCAGCGGAATTCCAATAACGTCTCGTTGAACCTCTGCGGAGGAGAGAGGCCTCTCTCCGCAGCCCTACCCTCATTTCAATAGAGTTTGTAATCATATTATACGATTTTATTCCACAGGCTGTCCTAGAGAGAAGATTGGTGTTCCTTTTGGCACCAAAGAGTTTAATTTTACCTCTTACCTTAATTATGCTCGAGATAATTTTATTGGTCGTCAATGGTTATTTCAATTGATGGAGAATTCCCTCTACCATTCACGCCAAGGTGTGTCTGGAGTCTTCATTACTGGAGATCCGGGAACTGGAAAGTCTGCGCTGACTGCACAATTAATCTGCTCCCGAAAGTCTAATCCGACCTTCTACGATCATGTTCTTGGGTACCACCTCTGTAGAAGGTCTGACAGAAATACACAGAATGGAAGAAAGTTTGTTCGTAACTTAGCCGATATGATAGCTCGCAGACTTCCAGAATACGGGTACATGGTTGCCGACGATTCACGAGTCCAGCGATCACTGAACAATGACTGTGTCACCATTCAAGATTGTGTACGGTGTTTCCAAGAGGCAATATTAACACCTTTAGGACTTTTGAAGAATAAACCGCAAGAAAAACAAAAATCGTTCAACGATTGCCTACACCTATTAATCCTGTTTTGTTGCATTGGTATCCTGGATGAAAGCTCATATAAGGACGGTATGTTGGGGTAAAATTCGTTTTTTTCAAAAATTCAGTTGTTTGTTTGTTTTTTTTTTGCGTTCCACTGACATTTTCATACAGACTCTCTTTTCTTAGTCTTTACCCTTTGACGACTGCTTTGTTCGTTTTTGTTCCATATGGAACGATACTTTTCGTTCATACAGCTTTCAGTTTTAGGTTTAACTGTAATAGCGAGGTGTAATTTGTCTTGTGACCTAGACAATGCAAGTTTTTCTTATATCTCGTGGACATATTACCCGACCGCGGATTGGCTAGAATTCGTGTAACGTCTATAACGTTAAGTTTTAAAACAAAAGAGGAATTTATGCTACAGCCTCTGCACTCTCTTCTCCGCGGAGGCTCTAAGCTAAAAGGGGCATCGGCGAAAGTGAGCGCGGGCTCAAGAATCGTTTGGTAAGCGGCGGGGGAGCCTCTTCCAGAAGTTACGTCCAATATGGCTGCAATCCGGGGGAGGCATTTTTGTAAAGTGTGTATAACTGAGGTGCATGGCAGGCATTGTTTTGTTTATTTCGGTAAAATGGCAAGCAATGAACTTGAAGCTATAAAATATAGTAAAGGCCCAGATATCCGTTGCTGTACGAGAAACCGACAGATTTCGGGCAGAAGTTCCCGCGCTGAAGAATCTTTCAGATCTCGCCCCTTCGTGTACTCACTTCGCGCAGCGGAATTCCAATAACGTCTCGTTGAACCTCTGCGGAGGAGAGAGGCCTCTGTCCGCAGCCCTACCCTCATTTCAGTAAAGTTTGTAATCATATTATACGATTTTCTTCCACAGGCTGTCCTAGAGAGACGATTGGTGTTCCTTTTGGCACCAAAGAGTTTAATTTTACCTCTTACCTTAATTATGCTCGAGATAATTTTATTGGACGTCAATGGTTATTTCAATTGATGGAGAATTCCCTCTACCATTCACGCCAAGGTGTGTCTGGAGTCTTCATTACTGGAGATACGGGAACTGGAAAGTCTGCGCTGACTGCACAATTAATCTGCTCCCGAATGTCTAATCCGATCTTCTACGATCATGTTCTTGGGTACCACCTCTGTAGAAGGTCTGACAGAAATACACAGAATGGAAGAAAGTTTGTTCGTAACTTAGCCGATATGATAGCTCGTAGACTTCCAGAATACGGGTACATGGTTGCCGACAATTCACGAGTCCAGCGATCACTGAACAATGACTGTGTCACCATTCAAGATTGTGTACGGTGTTTCCAAGAGGCAATATTAACACCTTTAGGACTTTTGAAGAATAAACCGCAAGAGAAGCGGTATGTTGTCATTGATGCCTTAGAAGATTGCCAGAGTGAAACAGCTCCCAGTTTTGTTAATTTGCTTGATAAGAAGCTTCGGTTTCCATCATGGCTAAAACTTGTGATGACTTCTCGCAACGAAACTAGCTTTTCCATAAATTCGAACCACTTCATAAAGCTGAAAATTAATCCTGAAGATACTCGAAATATACAGGACATTAGAACTTTCTTGGCGGCGAAACTTTCCCAAGATGGTCCTTTAATCCGTCCAATAACATTTTGGTTCGGAGATAATAGCACAAGAAATACCGCACCATTGACATCTGCCCTGTTGAGCAAAAGTCAAGGAAATTTCTTGCTCGCTAAGGAGATGCTTCATTTTTGGGAAATCTCTAGAGCTGAAATAATTGATCCTTACTCGCTGCCTGAAACGTTAGAAGAATTATACAAAAGACAATTTGAACGATTGTTCAGTCCAGCGGAAAATTTTGAACCTCTACGCCGAGTGTTAGAATTACTTGTGGCCTCTTTTCAACCAGTCTCTTTTAAACAGATTTTCGATATTCTGAGAAGAAAAGAGAATCGTGAAGAAGCTAGTAGGTTGAAATATAGAATGAATGAGCTGGGGCATTTTTGGAGATACGAAGAAAACGACAGAGTGACAATTTATCATCCATCGTTAACAGAATGGCTCACAAGTGAAAGCAATACAAATGGCCCATTTTACGTCCGCAAGAAAAAGGGACACGAAATGTTTTGTGACTATTATTTTAGCTTAATTACTGAGGGACACAACTCCTCGTTGCCAGAGTACATTCTCAACTTCGCTCAACACATTGCTCATGGCAGTTGGAAAAAAGATTTCCTTAAAAAATTTCTCACTGTGCCCTCAAAAGTTTTTGATTCATCAGATCCTACAATTAATAGGACTTTGTTGCACCTTGCTGCTACGATAAACAGCACAGATGCATTGGACCTATTGTTGCGTCATATTACTTACGATGATTACATTGATAATCGTGGAATAACCCCTGCGTTTTTGGCCGCAGAGCATGGGCTTGTGCGTAACTTGGCTTTAATGGTAAAGAAAGGAGCCAACATACATCATGAAACAAAGTCTCTGTCATCTACTTACAAACTGCAAGGGGAAGAGTCTTTAGAATCTGACAGTATGAATGTTAGGTGCAATCCAGTGTTTCAGTCTAAATCAAAATTATTTTCTTCTACAATGCTTCACGCAGCAGCTCATGGAGGTCACTTAGAAGTAGTTAATTTTCTAATTGACAATGGTGCGAACATTTCGACGGTCAATGGTGTTCACTTGACTGCATTACAAGTAGCTGCTGAGAAAGGACATGGGGAGGTTGTTAAAACATTATACGAAGCAGGCGCCGTACCTGATCAAACTGCCCTCCATCATGCCGCAGCAAACAATAAGTTAGAAGTAGTCAAGTACCTTTTACAAATTGGTGTTACAGATAAATGCATGAGATGCGATGGGTCTTTCTACTGGCTAAATGGAAAATATCGGCTGCAAAGAGATAATTTTTCTATGCCATCTTTTGCTCGACTGTACAAAGATTGCATTCATTCAAACTCAAAAATAAAACGTTTTGAGATTGACTTAGAGCATGGAAACACTAAGGATAAAGAAGGAGAACTTTATGACGACAAACATCTAATATTCTGTGAAACTGCACTTCATGCAGCGGTCTCAGCTGGCCATGAAGCGGTGGTCAGGGAACTAGCTTCCCACCCAGCCACAGCGTTAACCTGCCGGGATTATTCAGGAAGGACTCCTCTGCACGAAGCAGTCCGTAAAGGTAACAGCCGAATAGTAGACTTGCTGCTTTGGAGAGATCCAAATCTGGTATATGAAACTTGTAATAACTTGCAAAGTTTCCACGAGAACATTATTCCATTAGCATGGACGTTTCATGATGGAACAACATGTGACATTACAATTAAATCACAGCAACTGAGATTTGAAGAAGTTAAAGAATATGATAAGGATATATGTCACTGCGGATATACTCCACTTCATCTGGCTGCTCGGTATGGGCTTACGGATATAGGGCTCCAACTTGTCATTTCTGGCGCAAAAGTGGATGCTCCTGACTGCCTAGGCGCAACACCTCTTCATGTGGCTGCTTGTCATAATCACATAGTTTTCGTACACGTCATAGCTCACGCAAACTTTGGCGTTAATGTAAACAGCAAGAGTTCCAACGGATCGACACCTCTTCATAGCGCTGCAGCATGCGGTGCAGTCGAGGTCATTGACCATCTGATTTACCATGGAGCCAATGTAACTGCGGTTGACGAAGGTAACTTCTCACCATTACATTATTCAATTCTCCATGTACGACCACTCAATCGTGAAAAACAACTGATCAGAACCAGTTCGTGTGATGTGACACTTCTCCTAACACTGGTTGACCACAGAGGCCCAGATCATCTTTGTATGACCGGGAATCTTATCTACATTGAAAAAGAAGCTAAAGAATATCGATGGCTTGATGCATTTCTTCATTTGATAGAGCGTGGTTCAAGAATAAATTCGGTCGACTCATATGGAAGAACGCCTTTGCATTTAGCATCGGCAAACGGTTTGGCTGATGCCGTAGTTTTTCTATTACGTAAGGGGGCTAAGCTTGAAATCCGTGATACGTTTGGCAAAACACCATTAGACGTTGCAGTGGAAAATTGCACAGTAGAATCAACATCTCCTCCGTTTGTTATTGGTAGACGTTTCCTTGACTTGCCAAAACATTTACGTGACAATGAGATGGTTGTTTACCTACTTCTGTCAAATGGAGCCTCGTTCAAGAAATGCGAGCGTAATAGTACGAGTTTGTTACACCACGCTCTGGCAAAAAACCAGCCTTACATAGCTCAAATCTTATTGTTTAAAGGAGCCAGTGTTCATTGTAAAGATAGTTTTGGACGAACACCTGCCTTAGATTTAATTGCTAATGGTGAAAGTTGGACAGATATTCTTTTGAAACACTTACATTATTCCACCGCAATTAAATGTGGAGAGCCTTTTATCTCATCGATCTTTCATTTGTTTTGTTTTTTCCCCCCAAAGCGTCAAGACAATAATTTTTTTCAACAAATTAGATGCAAAAAACAAGTTTGCCTATCAAGGAAAAGTTTTCTTGGGAGAGCTATGAAAAGGCATCGATTGAAGAGCAAAATTATTGATTCTTGTCTAGACGCGGAGGGTTTTAGGCCCATTCACAGAGCTGCACAGGGAGCCAACTTAATAGGTGTTCTCAGCCTTCTAGAGCTTGGTGCAAACTCGTCCTTATTGTCTCCACAAGGACATGACACGATTACCCTTGCAATACTGCACTCAGGAGGAGGCATTTGGCACTTCCATGACAAAGAAGAACTGATAGCAAGGAACGATAACGCATCTCTTGTGGCTCTCGAGCTCCTTCATCATGCCATGAAAACTCGTAGTTTCCAGATTGTATGTGACTCGAGCAAATCCGAAATGACTTTGTACCATTTAGCAGCTTCTCGTGGGCTGGTTAAGTTCATACAAGAAATATTAAAAGAAAAGGAACGTCATCAGCTAAACGTGAATTGTCCTAACAAAGACGGGGTCACGCCACTTTACTTAGCGGAAGTTTTTAGCTTTGAAGCCAATGAGAGCAGTTATAATCCATGGAGAGAGGTCGGGACTATAATTAAGGAGCATGGCGGTAAATTGGTGTTTCCAGAAAAGGATGCTGAGTATACAATCATCTATGAAAGGTTGTACGGTTGGATTCCCAATAGTCTGGAATTAAGTTTGAGGCCTGACGTCCTAAGTTTCGTACTTGCACTTTGGTCTAAATTCCAGGACAGGCAGAAAAGTCAAAGGCAGTATAACTGTAACTGGGACTGGACATTGAAGAATAATTACAGCGTTTTATACTCGTCGTACGATGCCGTGTTAAATGAGATAACACGTCAATGGAGATTAATAAGGCGAAAATGGATTATTATAAAACCATTTCAGCCCGAGGTTGGGGCCTATCGGTCCTTTACTGGCGACATAAAAAAGTGTCTAATTCAAAAGAAACGGCATCGTTATTCTACTATTTACTTAAATAGGATGATTACAACAGCCTATGTCATTAGAAAAGCAATTGGCGAGGCTAAAGGAAAAGTGAGGTACAAAAAAGTCTTGAGGATTTCACAGATAGCGTTGTTTTATTTAATGAGGTGGTGGCACCTGAGAATGTTCCAAGATTTTGGTTGTTTTTATAGTGTGCTTGACAAGTATAAACCGTTTCTGTTGGATGAGAAAAAAATGACTCAATTAATTACAACGTTTACAAGAAGTCATTTAGACTGGAGTTTGGAAGTGACCTGTTCATTTATTAAGTTGGTATTTCGTACTTATCTGGAAAGTGATTTGTGCATTCTTGGTATCATTGACATTAATTCTGTATTAAGAAATCAGTATCCAGACTTCATAAGTAATCGAATGGGTTGGACTGTTGATAAAAAAAAGTCCTGGCCATTAGAATTCCTTTTAAAGTTTTCGTTAGGTCTCTACCATCAGTATGAATACTTAAAAATACTCAGTGTTGGATTAGAACAAGGAACTCGTCTTGCACTGCATTCTGAAAAGTTTGAGCGGGAGTGGAGAACGGTATGGGAAACGTACCGTGGAAGATTTTGTTCCTAGGCCTGGATATTTCGGGTTAAAGGACCCAAGAAGACATTTAGATAAAGACATTCAGTAAGGGAAGTTTCCTTTGTCGATCGCAATATTTAGAAAATCAACATTTGAATAGACTCTGATCGGACTATTTAAAGCGTTATATGCAATGGTTCAAGTTATACCTGCCTAACGAAGGTCGGCGAGTCTCCATCGATGGATCTCTCTCATAGCGCTTTAGTTTGGACTGTGGTGCCCCTCAAGGGTCATGTCTGGGCCCTATTTTATTCATCATATATGCATCCGAACTTATTAAGGTGGTTGACAATCAGCTCCCACGAGCGCCCTGCTAGGCGGACGATCGGGGACACCAAGAGTTATCTGAGTTTTAAGCCTAACAGCCGCACATCCCAATATCGCGAAGAGCAGGCGTTAGCTGGGACACACTCTTTGTTAATGACAATAAGACCGAGTTTATGATTATTATAACTCGGCAGAAACTTTGCAAACTGCAGGCTATGAACATTGAAGTAGGCAGTATTCAGATACAAAAGCTATCTCGCAAGTTAAAAATCTAGGCTGCTGTCTCGACTCCAATCTGTGTATGCGTGACCATATCACAAACGTGTGTGAAGCAGCTTTCTTCTACTTGCATAATATTAGACGCATTAAGAAGTATTCATTGAGACACAGCTTACGTACTCTTGTACATCCATTCATCACGTCGAGCAGGCTAGATTACTGCACTGGCTTGGTGTAAGGCCTCCCTAAAGAACAAATAGCTAAGTTGCAGCGCGTGTAAAACGCTACCGCTAGACAACTAGACTACCATAAACTTTAATCACTCTATACTTTATGACTAATAAGGTAAACTGGCTAGGCTACCAGTAGCTACCAGTGTAAGCGCGCACACATTTTAAACTTTCAAAGCCATTCATGGCCTCACACCTGTATATATCAGTACTCCTCTAGCCATAAAATGCTTGTCCTTGTACCCCGTACAATCATAAATCCAACTCAGGCACTTTATTACAGCCACCCAAGGTAAGATGTTAGTAGCTCTTGGCAAGCGCGCATTTCAGGAAGTAGCGTCGCATTTGTGGAACGAGCTGCCTTTACAGACACGCAATATAGAATCTCTCGGCTAGAAACTTCTAAGAATTCAATTAAGACATTCCTTTTTTGGCAATTTTTTTGAGCNTCGCATTTGTGGAACGAGCTGCCTTTACAGACACGCAATATAGAATCTCTCGGCTAGAAACTTCTAAGAATTCAATTAAGACATTCCTTTTTTGGCAATTTTTTTGAGCAGTGAATTTTATATAGCTTTTTTATTTTGTAATATTTTCTTATGAGATTTAAATAATAGTATATGTATTTTGTTAAGACTTTAATTATATTAGGGATTTGATTTCTACCAATATTCTCAATATTATACTATTTACTATTACGAAACTTTATAGATATTTGAAACATTTATTGTGATTATTCTAATTATATACTGTTACGTTATTTCTTTTCCTGATAACATCACAAAATGTATTCTTAAGGCGAGCTACTTATGCAAACAAAAAGTTCGACATTTCGACGATAAAACCTTTAAAAGGACATTTCTTTGCAAAGAGAATGAATGATAATACCATTCCGGAAACAGCCAAAAAGTAGCAAATTCGTCTGCATAAAGTCCAGTCTTCAGTTCATGCATAAGTTATACCCTTTTTATAGAAATTCCAAGATATCTAGAAATTCCTCTCATAGATTTCTGTGAAACTTTGCATAACGGAAGGCAAACACCAAAGCATGCGCAGCGTAAAGCATTTCCAAAGTTCAGGTCGATAAGGACTGAAATTCGATTTAAGGCTTAAACTATTGTGACGTCATTGCCACGTGATATTTATTCCGATCGCCCAAAAATAATAATATCATAATAAAGTTTAGTCTATGTGTAATACATGTGTCATAATGGTTTCACCATAAGGATCAATTTGTTTAAATAATAAGAGATTCAAAAATGGAAGGCTTCGCTAAAGAATTATTGTATCGAGCCACCTTAAACATCATTTTGTGTATCTAATTAGCATATTTGTTATGTCACGTGACCTCTTTGGCTCAACTGACGGTTCCGTTAACACACCTGAGACACGGTTGCAAGGCGGCAACAGTCTTAACGAGTCTTTCGTAGTAGTCAGGAAAAAGGATATAACAAGATAAGTTGCGGTTTGACTGAGTACTCCTCATAGATGAAATATTTTGACCGTTTTAAGGCGAATGTCAGTCACTTGACTAGCAAAGAAAGAGTTTATCAAATGGATGGAAACTTGGAGGGCAAACTGGTCGCCAAGTTAACCACAGCATACGTCCTTCAAAATTGTTTAAATTAAATTTTGCAATGAATCTGACAAACTATTTTTTTTCTAATAGAACTAATTTAACGTGCGTTCGCGCGGAAAAATTACGATACAGTGGAAACCGCCCCTTACAGAGACTGTAGCGATGATTGATTCAGCATAACAGTGAAATTTTTATTTAGGGGACACCCTCGGGACCAAGGCAAGTATATCCTAAAAAGAGATGTCCCCTGAATGAGGATCAGCTGGGACTTCTTACCTGTGATAATTAACATACAAATAGAATATTTTTCTTTTATTCTGCCTCAGAAACTACTACAATCAACATTTCAGGCAGCTATATACTTAATAAAAAATTAAGATTATCTCTGTAAAATTCTGCTTCGAAATACCACAAGTGCAGCACACCGATTTAAATGAGATGGTTAATGTTGTGAAAGTTGTCGACATTTTGACTAGTGTGCACATAAACGTATCAACCTTTTTTTGTAGTTAGTCACTTTTTTGAGTGCTAAGATGTCCCCTGAAGAGAGGTTAAACCCCGGATACGGGAACCTGAAAGAGTGCCCCTTTCCTACTAATAGAGGTGTCCTTTGGATGGAGGTAACAGATACAAAGATTTATATGTGAGCATTTTTTCTGGGATCAAATTTTGTGTCCCCTCAAAGGAGGTGTCCTTTGAATAGAGGTGTCCCAAAGAAGAGATTACGCTGTTGTCAATTGCTGCTCGTCCACCGAGTCCCAGGGCCCTGTCTGCCTGAAGAAGCTTCTAAGTTTCAAGGAGAGTAGTTCCCACAATTTAAGATCAAATATCAGCTACGAATTAAAGGTCCCAAATTTAAGTGGTAGACCCTAAATGTTGTGTGTTGGAGGATGTCTCGGCCTTACGCTTTTAGAATTTCGATTTTTTTTTTTCAGATATGTACAAGTTCTTACGTTTTATGATCAGTAGAGAGAATGGTTTTGTGAACATAAAAACTGTTTTTTCCAGTTTAGAGATTATTAAGGAGCCACTAAAAGTCAGTGAAGATCAGCTAAAATAGAGAGGATTCAAATACGCATATCAAAACGTTTGACGATTAAAGATTTCGGCAACCCTTGCACGCATTGCGAGCATACAAGGTAATTTTGTTTCACGGTGAGGACTGGGACTTACTTACTTGTATTCAACATGGCGGACGGATCTGGCCTGCTGGCTGACGCAGTACAGCGCAGATGAGTTGAAGCTGCAGCCTTTGATTGCGGTGATATGGGTTTACAAACAGTCCGTCCGTATCTCAGTCGTTTTGCCTTAGGGTTTGCTTTAGGACTTCCAGTAGCTGTGACATTTGTAGAGAACGTTGGGAGTTTAAAGGGAGTTCATGGTATCTCAATGCAAGTAAGTGGGTATATATATCAAGCTTAATTAAGCTTTTTTGATTTAGCTTAGGGGCTGACCATTTGACTTTTTTATGGGTGATTTGGTTTGGGTAAGAATTTCATTTTTCCCAAACCCCTGGTGATATAATTTTTTTTCTAGACATACAACGGTGTAAGAATTTTTTTCCAGCATACGACATGAAAGATATTTTTTTCGCTAGATATTTCCGTGCAAGAATCTTTTCCCTCGAAAACATGCAGAATTTTTTTTCTCAAATCACCCATACCCACCCCCCCGCTCCCTTCAAAAGTCAAATGATTGTCCCATTAGCCCCAAACTTACATTCTTTTATTTTTCGATCAACGATAGCTAAAGATTTGGCGAGAGTCAAGCGTCACAAATCGTTCAGTCTGTTTTAGCCTGAAATCACAGGCAGACCACCCTCTGTTAGTGGGGCCACTGTTGACTGAAATCTGAGCATCAATCTTTTGATATTTATAGAAGAAAAACAGATGAACAAGAGGGTGGTTATAATTTGCTCCAAAGTGCAGATTTTAATTCAAATGTTTCAATAAAAGCTTGAAGAAAATGTGCCGTGTGTCATAAAGAAGGAGACTATTAAAGGCATGCAGCAATCAGCTGCTGGCACATGACTTGGTCCACTCTAAGCTTGAACTGACACCAAACTGTTAAATTTCTTACTTCGAAAATGTTGGCTTCTGATCCACTAGACATGTCTCCATGCCCCAAGTGAGAGCTCAATCTCTCCAAAATTTCTCAACAAAAGCAATCTTGAAGTTGCAAGACCAGCTTTCTCAACATGATCAGTGCAAAATTCTCAACCAAAGGCATTTGAGGTGTGCACGTCAATCCAAATCCACCCGTCTGCAGGGCAGGGTTGGGTTTTGAACCGACAACAGTCGTAATACACTGATTGTTGGATTTGGCAGCTTGGTCACCTGGAAGACCTATGTTTCTCCAGACAGTGTATAGTTTCATGGACATCTCTCATCAGAGGGATAACACCTGCCACATAACATGGCAATGTAACCATAAAAGTTAATTTTCTCTTACTTTTATCTACAGCCAACACTAAATCCAAAACCTCACTTTAAAGGTGATGTAGTGCTTGTGAACAGCTGGGCTGTGAGATAACACCTGCCACATAACATGGCAATGTAACCATAAAAGTTAATTTTCTCTTACTTTTATCTACAGCCAACACTAAATCCAAAACCTCACTTTAAAGGTGATGTAGTGCTTGTGAACAGCTGGGCTGTGAGGCGATTTGAAGGAATCGGCAGAGGAGATATTGTAACCCTCATGTGAGTGAATTCTGAGTTCTGTCAGAGTTTGCTTGATCTTTGCCTACCTTTTGGAGGTTTCTAACTTTTTGAAGAAGCTGTGAGAGCTACTGAGGTACATTAAGGTGTCACTTTGAGACAATAAGGCATTTCCCCATTCCTCCATTTGCAGTGTTTTGTTTGAGCTTAGCAAATCAGGGCCTAACTTCCAAAAGCCTTGACCTTGTTAAATTACAGAACTTGTGTGCCTTTTCACTCCTAAGAGCACACAATAATTAGTCAAAATTGACAAAAATTTACATTTGTGGTAATATACGTACAATTTGAGTTTCATAGTATTCCCAAGAACTACCAGTAATAAAACAGTGGTAATACTGGTGAAAGGGTTCTTATGTATACATGTATGATAACAGAAAAATGTGATACATACTGTTCTGGTCACTTTGATAAACAAAAGGTTGAAAATCATACATTCATCTGCAGGTGTATGAAAAAAAATGGTGATTTACATAGAGGACCTTTCAGCTGCTATTTTTTTATTAGTACTGGATAATGTGAGATACAGGTGTACAGGTTAAAGACTGTAAGACACTAACATTGTTGAGCAGGGTTGTCACTAAGATTTCAAGTTGCCTGGGTAAATACAAAAAGTGGGCATGAAATCAAACAGCTACAAGTATCTTTTGATTCTATTTTTCTTAAATTTTCCTTTGAAAGTAGTTGCAGGCCACATTCATTGTAGCTGGGGAAAATCCCTGGCCGCCGCCCCTTAATGACAACCCAGGTTGAGTGTTGAATACCATTTCACAAAAAAACTATCTCCTTTTTGACTCTTTTAAAAGTGATCCTTCAGACCCGGATGCTGTTCTTATAAAGAGAGTCATAGGTGTGGAAGGGGATCATGTAAAGTAAGTAAATCAAACAATCCAGTAGCCTTTAACCTCTTCAATGTATTATTAAACAGTGGAGGCATAAAGCCTTCTAATCTACCAAAGAAATATGCCTATGCCTATAGGTTGAAATAGTCTATTGCTACAAAACCAGCTTAGGGCGTATCGTGGGATCCACTGTAATTGGCTAAGTTGCAATGGTCTCCCTGCATAATAATTTTATGTCTATAAGCATTTTTTTTTCTAGTTAGGCAAAGCTAGAAAAACAAATGAATTTTTTAAAAATAAATAATACATAAATAAATATCTTGTCTTTAGAAGGCTATGCCAATCTGGCACTAGAATAAAACAAAGAGACGACCCAAGTTGTGTCTTGGAGCAGCAGCAAACTTTCAGTAACAGCATACAAAAACACTCTTTCTTATCATCAAACCACATTCATTCACTTGCAGTCTGCAACTCACGGTGTCTACTTTGACTCTCATCTAAGTAGACAAAGTCAGTCTCCTGCAGTATATAAGGTGTCGAGTCGAGTCACCTTCTTTAAAGTTAAGAGTCTTAAGTTATATCCCTGTCTTATGCTACCGTCTTCTCTTTTTCTAAGGAGGGAGTGTGGAATGGTCAGTGTTTCCTACTCACAATGAGAAGGTCCACAAGTACAATTCTTGCCCTGACCACTAGCTCAATTTGTTTCTCAGATAGTCCCAAAGTTCACCTGGGAAAGTTAAATTCCTATATCACACTATATGGACTAACAAATGCTCGGTAGCCAGCTTGTTTTTCCAAGCCAGTCCAGGCTTTTTTTGTTATCATGTTGCATGAATATTTGACTTTGATTAAAGGTTATGTTGATTATCTGTTTGTGATTATTTAATTAAAAGTGTCATTGAAGTGGCTGTAAACTAGAATCTGTAGAATAAAACACCTAATTAAGTATTGCTTTTACAAAGCTCTAGATTAAAAAAAAAGTTACAGTTAACTTATTTAATTGTTTGCTTACTTTTTTCACATTTTACAGAACTATAAGCTACAAGAAGAAGATTGTACATATTCCAGCAGGTCATTGCTGGGTTGAAGGAGATAATCATTCACACAGTCATGACAGCAACTCCTTTGGCCCGGTGAGTTGTTGTATAAACTGAATGTCAAATGGCAGTGGTCCACTTAGTGTGAAAGTAAGCTCTCTAGTTTAAATGGTTTACATGTTCTTGAAAAGTTGGAGTTGTGTCCTTGAATTCTACAGTTTTCTGGGAAGTTGATATGAATTTTTCTATCCTATAAATTTGTCTATTTATTTTACATGTATTCCATTTCATTCTATTTTTGTAGGTGTCGCTGGGTCTTATTCAGGGGAAAGCTACTCACATTGTATGGCCACCAGGGAGGTGGCAAAAACTAGAAACATTTTCACCAGAGGGACGGCTAGACTCTGATAAAATATCTACCCAGTATGAATCAAGGAATGCAAAGGATCTTCCCAATAATGTGGATACAACAGTGAAAAGAGATGGAATAACATGCAGTGGTTCTACAGCTGGCTCTAGTCGAACTCATAATAAGTTTGAGGAGAAAAGTTCTGTTACAGAGATAATTTGTGGACCTGTTAGATGACCAGAGCTAGATTTGTCTTGAATGAGGGAACTCAAATTTATTCACCAAAGACAACAATTTAAAGCGTATTCATTTGTGCTGTTTTTAATTATGTATTAAATATTATTTTTTATTCAAATAATGCTTCATGAATCAGTTCAATCCACAGGGCTGTATTTCTAATCGTTTCTCCCAATAAATTTTATCTCTGAATTGGGTTCTACTAATTAGGGTTTATATTACATTGTTAGAGTTTTATTGTTTTTGCCCAGCTACTGAACATCAGGTTGGTACTAAATGTGGCTACAACAATGGTAAAATTTACACTATATATATTTTATGTCATGGTGTCACGGNTACTTTTTTCACATTTTACAGAACTATAAGCTACAAGAAGAAGATTGTACATATTCCAGCAGGTCATTGCTGGGTTGAAGGAGATAATCATTCACACAGTCATGACAGCAACTCCTTTGGCCCGGTGAGTTGTTGTATAAACTGAATGTCAAATGGCAGTGGTCCACTTAGTGTGAAAGTAAGCTCTCTAGTTTAAATGGTTTACATGTTCTTGAAAAGTTGGAGTTGTGTCCTTGAATTCTACAGTTTTCTGGGAAGTTGATATGAATTTTTCTATCCTATAAATTTGTCTATTTATTTTACATGTATTCCATTTCATTCTATTTTTGTAGGTGTCGCTGGGTCTTATTCAGGGGAAAGCTACTCACATTGTATGGCCACCAGGGAGGTGGCAAAAACTAGAAACATTTTCACCAGAGGGACGGCTAGACTCTGATAAAATATCTACCCAGTATGAATCAAGGAATGCAAAGGATCTTCCCAATAATGTGGATACAACAGTGAAAAGAGATGGAATAACATGCAGTGGTTCTACAGCTGGCTCTAGTCGAACTCATAATAAGTTTGAGGAGAAAAGTTCTGTTACAGAGATAATTTGTGGACCTGTTAGATGACCAGAGCTAGATTTGTCTTGAATGAGGGAACTCAAATTTATTCACCAAAGACAACAATTTAAAGCGTATTCATTTGTGCTGTTTTTAATTATGTATTAAATATTATTTTTTATTCAAATAATGCTTCATGAATCAGTTCAATCCACAGGGCTGTATTTCTAATCGTTTCTCCCAATAAATTTTATCTCTGAATTGGGTTCTACTAATTAGGGTTTATATTACATTGTTAGAGTTTTATTGTTTTTGCCCAGCTACTGAACATCAGGTTGGTACTAAATGTGGCTACAACAATGGTAAAATTTACACTATATATATTTTATGTCATGGTGTCACGGAAACTGTGAAACCTCCAACTACTAGGATGTTACAGTTCAGGAGTCTGGCTTACATGTAGGGTGTGACCACAAAGTGGGCAGATGAGTCTAAAAGACAAAGAAAAGATTTACAGTCAGTTTGGATTTCTTCTAAATATATGCAAAGGAAACTTGTGTTGGTGCTATCATTAGGAAAAAAGAAGTCAACTGGTGGTACACTTACTTCTGTGTGTGGCCATTCATAGAAAATTTCTCTTTCTGTGGGCACTTCCCTTGTGGATTGAAATTCTGTAGGTGTACAAAACGAAAACCAATGATTACTTTCTTGAGTTTTCATAAATTATAGATCAAACTATCAGGTCACAATTAATCTTTATAATTCTTGGAGTCCCTTAGAATGATTTAATCATTTGTGGCATTTGCAGATGGGGGAGGTACGACCAAGGGACTTGGTTCGACCCAGTAGTAACTCTGTGGCTTTCCTACCAGCAAAGGCTCCCTGAAAAAAGTTTAGGAGTGGGGAGGGAGCTGTTGGCAGTCCCCTCCACCCCCCACCATCTGAATTTTGTCTGTCTGCAGAAATCATAGGGCACCAAAATTAAGACTCGATCTCATTTTGTCAAACATGAAAATTATAAAATTTTACTATTTTTTTCTAATAATGGGGTTTAAGGAGTGGGGGCACAGATACAGACAAAGTCAGAGAGACTATCTGCTATCATCAGCAGAGCGCTTCATGGCCGATGATCATATACAAAGATAATAAAGATTACAAAAAGGACTTTTTTAGTCCTTGGCTATTCTATGATAAGTTCCAGATTATAACAGTCTAATAAGCACAGACCAGCCATCTCTGACTCAAAAATCACGTAAACAATGATAATTACGCACCTTTTTCTGGCCAACAACTGAGCAAGACAATTGAGAGAATTTCTCCCAAGGAATCATAAAACCATTTCTTGAGAGTAACTGACGTTTCAAAGAGAAATCCACCGTGTGCTTAGCAACGAACAGATCAAAAAGCCCATCAGATTGTACTGCATAAATCGATGGCTGTTGTGCATGGTGATAACCGATGGCGCTTTCCATTTCTGGGGAGGTTTGTTGGCTTTCATGTCTTCTGTTGCGATGGTTGGACATCGACCCCGTTGGTCTAAACATTCTCTTGTAGAGAGCTTCAAAGCCACCTTGAAGGTAGTAACTAGCCTTGCCAATATTTGTTTAACTGCTAGCTGATTCAGAACTCCTTAAAAATGTAGAAACATTGCAACCTGCCAGGACTGAAGCTTGGCAAAGAATACACACTGCACACGGAAGACCAAGAGGAAACGATGAGGTTATCTGTATTTGTGATTCTAGAATTTGTTCTGCAGTTTAGTTCTAGAATAAATTCTAGAATTTATACTAAAATTAATGTGGAAATAATAAGGTCAGTCAAGGGCTTAATGTAATTGTACTGATTCTGTTTTGATTTTAGTTTATTGCACAGATGAAGGAGAATTATTTTTCATGGCATGTTTTATAGATCTTAAACTAAGAAAAAGAAAGAAAACAATAGTGATGTCCCCCAAAAATTTCAATTAAACAAGAAAGGAAAATAAAACAACCTGTCCTTCTGAACGACACGTATTCTTCATTAAAGAAAACAATAATAAGAAATAAAATAAGTTCAGTAATAAATACATTCATAAGATTTAGCAAAATTAGCCCGGCAAATTTGCGGACAGTATCCATCGGGCTGGGTCAAGCCTTTTTTTTTTTTTTTNCGCGCTGTACTTGCGCTAACATGAATTTTAACAGACTTTACACGTTGAATTGAATGTAAATCTTTATACTTCTTAGTTGTTGAGTAAACCATTTAAGATTTAATCCCTTGTGTTGCACTGTTGTTTATTGAAATGCACCACGTCCTTTTCGCGCAAAATATGTTGAAGCCTCCTTATCGATCGCGTAAGACTTGGCCTTAACGTGACATAGCTAACCGCACACGTCACGCGATAAGTATGACAACACGCGGTATAACAATATTGTCATGTTTCAGGCTGAAATTTCCAGCATAGATTTTCATAAAACCCTGTGTTGTCATTGGTTAAAACGAAACAAGATGAAAGTTAAGAATTAATTAGTTGAATAAAACCATTTACAGTCGTTTTATTAGCAACTAATGACCACAGCAACGTGCTGCAATAGCGGCGAATATTCAGAGTTAGCGAATTGCAATCCAGACATGAGAAAACCTTTTTTCCCTTTCTTATTTCAAGCAGAAATGAGTTAACAACTGAAATAGGGCGTGAAGGATTAATATCTGTCAAAGTAAACATGGCATTACGTTACCATAATCCAGCATTGAAAATTTGCATACCAAACAGGTAGCTATAGCTTATCCGCAGGTGGGGCAAACAGCAGCAGCAGCACGGTCACACTGAGTATAGAACACTGTCACATGCAAACATGGCGAGTGTGTTAGAAACCTTACAGGATGTTAGCTTCACGACCTGGCTGGCGGTGATCCTTGGATTATTAGTATTTTTCTATTGGCGTGGGATCCAAAAATACAACTCTCTTCTCGGAAGCTCTCCGCTCCCAGGACCCAAACCATTGCCTTGGATAGGTAACCTCCTCGATGTCTTCAGATATGGCGGAATGCACAAAATGTTTCTGAGTTTCTTCTACAAGTACGGCCGAGCTCACAAGTTATGTTTGGGTAGGTCACCCGCAATCGTGGTCTCCGATCCTGAAATGATCAGGGAAATCTTGGTGAAGGAGTTTTCGAGTTTTCCAAATCGGCTTGGCTTCACACCTAGGCCGCCCCTCAACTCTGGCTTGTTCGTCTCGCGCGGAGAATCGTGGAAACGTGTGAGGACGACTCTTACCCCAACGTTTACCGCGTCCAAGTTAAAGCAGATCGTGCCCATAATCGAGGAAAAGTCCGATCTGCTGTTGAATAAGATGCAAAGATTTTCAGAGACAGGTAGGTCTTTCGCGTGACGTGGAACCTCAGTACAGTCGACTGGTCGACTGTCGTGTTGATTTTTACCACTATATTTTTTTTTAAATTAATATAGGCAAACAATATTGTCAACATAATTTTACGTTATTTTTATTTTAGAAAAAGGAAGTATAGATTGTTGAACATAGCTCGTCCAACTTTAACTAAAGGTCGAGGTTACTTAATGCCTACATGTTATGGGTTGCGTGACAAATACGTTTTGCATGGAACGGTTTCGTGTGACTCGATTCAACCTGACAGTTGTTCTACCGTTTACTGTCTCGCTGATTTGCACAAATACCATACGTTAGAAAAAATACGCTTTATGGTAAATTTAAGGCAACGAAAAATGTTTCAAATCATGATCTGTGTTCGTCCTTCGCCAATCTACTTACTCTGAGGTTACGTAATAGCTACTGGATTACGCCGGTAGCCTGTTCACAGACTCTCTATTTTCTCTTCAAAGTCCGTCGAGCGCTGGTGATATAAACCGCAGGGGAATTATTGACTGTCAGCGCAAGAGGGTAGTGGTGGTGGAATTTACGTGCTCTGCGCTCGTTCTCGCGCTCGCATCGCGCGCGAGCTCGCCAATGTTTTCGAAAAGAACGAAAAGAAAAATAAAACAACGTCTGTGTACACAGAGTAGGTTGCGTGATGATTCACGTCAAATTAACGGACTCTTTGAAATGTCAGCAATGAATAAACATTTAAATATGTTTCAAGTAAACTTTTAAATTTCATGTTCAAGTAAAAAATGGCCTTTATTTTAATCTCTTTTATGTACCGTTACGTAAAAAGCTGGTAACGTTCGGGGATTTAATTTTAAGCTTCATCAACTTTCCCCCGGCCCGGGGCGTCAAAAGCCAGTAACTTCAGACAGCAATTTTAAATTAATAACGCCAATTACTTAAATAAAATTGATCAATTAGCTACGCAGAAGAGAGTTTTTTTGTTGTTAGTTTTTTTTTACTTGCGCGCTCCGTGCTATTGCCTCGAGCGCTTTGCCGTTGATTTCTCAACATAGAATCTGCAACTATTGACCAGTAATATTTGCTTAATTTAGGTGAAAGCGTGGATGTTGTCCAAATCTTCAGCTTGTTTGCGTTGGACGTCATCATGAAAGCCGCCTTCGGAATTGAGAGCAACGTCCAGGTGAAACCAGATCCAGTTTTTGTCGAGAAAGCTAAACGTGTCTTTCAGTCACCACTCTGGACTCGATTTTTTTCCGTCCTTCCCTTCTGGGAATACTTCAGCAAGTACTACAGCCCCCTGCAGAACGTTGACTATTTCATAGGCATTCAAAAACAAGTCCTCGAACAAAGACAGAAGCAGGGATTTACCGGCACTAGAGACCTTGTCCAGTTGATGTTGGAGGCGCATGAACAGACTGATGTCGATGGAGTTAGCAAACTTAGCGATGATGAGGTCACCGCCCAGTCTGTGACTTTCCTTTTTGCTGGCTTCGAGACCACTGGTAATAAATACAATTTTGCTACAATGAGGGACAAAACTGTTGAGACACTTCAAAGTGGACATGCCTATCCCCTCCCCCTGTCTACCCGCACCCCTCCCCCAAAAATCAATGTTGTATTTTAGACCCTCAGGTCTTTCTTTTTCGACTTCAAACAACGTTGATTCGGGGGTGCGGGGATTTACGGCGTTTAAATAGAATGAAATAATAAATCAATGAAATTGTTGATAAAAAAGCACCCGGTTTAGACAAGTGGGTCAACTACTTTTGTGCCTGATTGTAGCCACGAATTTAGAGGCAGTGCACTCTTCAAAATTTTATATATTTGAGGAGCCTATGATTAAAGATGACCAATAATATCATGTGCATAAGTGGTCCAAGGGAGGCCTTAGATCCCGAGGGGGGGGGGGGGTACTCCCTACAAAGGGGCA